ACCGGAGTTTGAGCTCGCCTTTGTGTGCCCAGCCCGCCCCTGTAGGGGCTGTTTGTGTGTGTTTAGACATGGCATTTGTCATGCAAACACGGGATGCTCTATTCTCTCTCTCCTGAGATGAAAGTGATTTTATTTCCTTTTATTCAGAGTTTGGCTTGGGATTAAACACTGGCTGTAGAACCAGAAATACAGGCTTAAATCAGAGTTACATTCCTTTTTTTTTTTTTTTTTTTTTTTTTTATCCTTATCAAATAAGATGTGCTTTGTGTGGTTTATCAGGTGCCTCATCAGAATGTCCAATGTCTCATCAAAGTGAAATCCCTTGCCTGTCCAATAAGACTGCAAGGGTGATAGGGTGAGAGCAAACAAATGCTGGGGAGGAACTAAGTAAATCTAAATGGTGTGAACTTATAGCCAGGCACATTAGAGGGAATATATTTTATATGAGTGGCATTTAAGGCCCAGGCCTCACATTGCTGATCTGTAGAGGATAAAAAATTATTTGTGGGCTTTTTAGGGCCTGCTGTTACCTGCAACCAGGTAAATAGCTTCAAAAACTAAAAATCCCCAAATCTATCTTCTCATTTACTTAAATGCAATCCAGGATCTCATTCCTTTTGCTATTCAAAACCAGCATAAAAGATATTTTTAAGAAGCTGAGCAAATACTGAGGAATCTACAAAACAAAATTGGAATTAAGAGCTTGAGTCTTATTTCTAAATGTGAACAGCAAATGCAGGTGACTAAAGTTACCATCTTTAGCAGTGACTGGTAGTAATTGGTCTTTCTAGTAATAGGTCTTCCTGTCTTCTAAAATTAGCCTGCTGAAAATAATTACTTTGGGAACATTACTCATGCTCAAGTTTGAAATACTGTAGTGAAGGTGGTTAACATGATGTTTCTTTGCATCTGAGTGAATAATAAAAAGATTCTGTTCAAACTTCACAAGTAGAACTAGCTCTGGGCAAAAGAGAAGCACGGGCAACTTCATATAGTTTAGAGCAGTGGGAAACACAGGAGTTAAAACACCGTTTTGGTGCTGCTATTGCCACACTTAATAGGAGGTAAATGAACGTTATGGACTTGAATTAACTCATACAACTGGCAAATGTCCTTTGCACTTAAACTCTGACCGAAAAGGTGCGTCTCTTCCTGTAGGATCAGCCTTGTTGTTTCCAAGTGCTTTACAACAAACTGCTGGGGCCTTAGTGGGCAGATAACCGAAATTACCATAATGAAATCAACGCCACGGAAGGCAAAGTACCAAGTCCAAGCAGCCTGCAGCCCTATTAGCAGTCGTAACATAAAGAAAATTAGCATGTGTTTTCAGGCCCTGGTACAACAGAGACACTCTGTGGAGCTCTCCTGGGTTAGAGCAAACAAAGGTTTTTTAAATATTTAGAGAAGACTAAGTCCACTTCCTGAAAAGCCGAAGCCAAAGTCGACCTGATTTGGTCTGAAATGAGGCCATCAACTCCCACGCAATATTACTCGTAGCAGGTATGAATTTGATTCCTTGTATTTTACAGTTAACTAAAGCTGCTTTTTTTTGTTGTTGTTGTTCTTATAGTTCAAGAAAGAATATTGCTTATTTGCTCCCTTATTTGCTGGGAGAAACGTGTGGACCAATCACTCTGTGTTCACCATTCACCCTGTGGGGACAGCTGCCTATCTCCTGGCTGCCAGTTTTCTCACAGTGTTGTAGCCAAGGAATTTCCTTTCTGATCTCATGGCTCAAAACTGACAGCAAACGTAGTTGAGGAGGGAAGGACGCCGAGTTCGTTGCCTCTCTAGTGATAAAAGGTTGGGTTCTTTTTCTGTAGTACGCTGGTCAATCTGGAAGGGTCAAAGACGTTGTGATGCATCCAGAACTCGACCGCTAAACTTCTAGCTGGAGCTGACTGACTTCCATGAGCAAAATGTGGCTTGTATCACGTAGCATGAATGAAAAAGGACTGAGAAGGGACATGGGATTGCTTGAGGAGAAACAGCACGTGCTTAATAGCTCCTTGCTTGTTAGTTTACATCGTCTGATGAGAAGTTTTCACAGAAGGACTGAGTGTTTTACAGGTTGTTTCCCCCCAGTCCCAGGAATGTTGTCAGCAACTTGCTGATAACACTGAGTTATCAAGGTGGGTGCTTGGGGTGGTGTTGGGCATTTTGCCTGTCCTTGCTTTTTTGTTCTTCCTTAGAGCTCCAGTGCCTGCCTGCATCGTAGGATGTGTGAAAACCCCAGGCTGCTCCCACCCTGTTGAGACAGGGGAAAAACTCCCAAATTTTAACTAAGTGCATCCTAAAGACAAAGGAAAAAGAACCAAAAATACAGCCAGATGTCACATCTCTTGTGTTTTTTTAGCCTCTTGCATTGTTTGTATGCCTCGGGATGGATTGCATTTCAGATGTCTGACACGGAGAACGGGAAAGCTACTAATTTACCTTTCAAGGCCAGGCTGCCTTTCTGAAGTGCTGTGTTGGAACCGGTGTGTCCCCTTGTGCTACACTGACACCATCTGAACCGGTTCCTCTTGTCTGCCGTCAGATTAAGGCAATGTGATCCCCTTATCTCCAGGCCCCCTGCTCTTACTGGGAACGCAGCTACTCATCTTTCAGGGCATTGTTAAGAATATTTTATGGGGCTGTGTTTGGGCGAGGTGCCTAAGGGGATTAGAAATGAGGTGGATCATCCTTTAAAGCTAGGGACTAATGCCTCCAGGAAGTGCCCAAGAGGAGGAAAACCCACATTTTATCAAGCCTTGCGGCTTTAAATCAAAGGCATTTAATTTTCTGGAAATATTCTTCATTTTTGGGGTAGAAAAATTAAAAAAAAACCCTTACCTGACCACTATCAGAGAACTGTTAAGACATGATGAAGCTTTTGTATTTGCCATCTAAATTTCCCACTATCAAATCTGCGTGGTTCTCCCCAGTGAAACACTGAAGCTGTGCAAAACCTAGCCTGGAACCAGGGGATGTTGCTGTTATCGGGTGGGACCGAGCACTTGAGCCTTCACTACAATGTTAACCTCGGGTAGGCAGCTGGCACAATCCACATCAGCTGCTAATGGAGCCAGAAGGGGCTGGGAAAACAGTCTGGAAATGAGCAGCTTTGGGCAGCAGGCAGCTGAGTGAGCTGCTTTGCTCCTGTGGCTTGAGGTCCATGAATGTGGCTTGGGATCCCTTCCTGAATCCACTCCTAAGCCACGAGAGAAGCAGAGTAGCTGCGATCGGACAGGACCTCTGAGCTTTCAGCCTGGTTTCCTCAGGAAACTGGAATTCTGGCTTGCTTTACAAGGTGGTTAGATGTTTCTGCTTTGTGAATGGTACCTCCTGTCCCAAGAGCTGCTCGTGTTTCCATGAATCAGCTGGCTTAATTTGCTGTAGCTGGGTGTCTTTGCTGGAGCCTTCAGCTGCATTAGTTGCTCTAAATCATCCAGATATGTTCACATGTATCATATGTTCTACCCATCTGCAGAATTAAAGAAAATATTGTGCAGCCAAATCTTGTTAATGCGGGTGAATGCCTTGTGAACTCAGCTCATTGAAAACACAACCCTGGGGGTTTCTTCTCTTCCTTCAGATCAGCATACAGAATCCTACCAAAGCAAGCGGCTACGGAAGCACTAGGATCTTGTCTCCACTGGTTTTGGAGTCAACCTAGCAAACAGATTGTACCTTAAAATTGCTCAGAAGTTGGAGGAAAAAAAAAAAAAAGGAACATGAGTGAAAATACTTACTAAACAGGTGTTTATTGCTTCAACCTAAGTTGAGCTTTGCTATTTTGACCTGAAGTTATAAACAAAACCTAAAATGAAAAGATTGCTAAATTTCACATAATTCAAATTGTGTAACTTTCTCATTATTGTTTCCAAATCAGTAATTCCTGAAAATACTTTCTTTAGCACAATCTTTTCTTTTTCAGAAACAGCTCCCCTGGAGTTCCCCCAGAAAATGAGATTTTTTAAAAAATGTGTAATTAATAGTATAGAGCAAATTCAGATTCTCCACTTTTCTAGTAATACTCTAGGAGGGCCAATTCTCGAAACATTGCCAAAATAACCTTATTTGGGTTTAATATTAACAGAGATCTCGTATAGTGAGGCAATGATACAAAATGATGCTGCAACAATAGTTGGAATTTTTTTCTGGGAAGACTCTCATTGACATGAACCATTCTTGTTGCTTTCTTCTCATCTGATGGTACAAAAATGTGACAATCATCAACTGTAGAATCAGATAGAGAGTAGATATGGCATTAATGTTGGCCCTTCTTGGAAACACAGGATTTTTGCTAGCTAGCAAAATAAATTCCTTGCATGGCCTTTCCTTGGGCGTGCATTACGGGGGGGTATTTGAGAGTGGACTGAACTTCTCTGGGCTTTGTGGACCTCAACAGGTCCCACTGAGAAACCAAGAAGAGAGCGCTGCAATTTCCTTGTTTAATGTGCAGGCCATCCTATAGGAAGGTCTTGGCTCGAGGCACTTCTAGGGATGGTGCCTAGGATGGTCCAAACTCAACTTTCCAGAAGTTTACGGGAAGGTTTAAGGGGAAACAGGTTTACCAGAGTTGAACAGGGTAGCTTTTACTTCCTGATACTGATTGCTTCCTTCTCTCTAAATAAAACTTGGCAGTGGTAAAGAGATGTATTAAAAACAACATAAATATTGTGCTTTGAGGGTTTGCATGACGGTTTTTGTACTCTAAACGAGCGGAAGACCTGCAGAGCAGGGATCTCCCTGACGAGAGCATCGGCGGCCCGAGCGGAGCGTTCGGCGGGGCCGTGTTTCCCCCAAGGGATCGCTCGTAACTCAATCCCCGGCGGAGGTGGCAGCGCGGCGCCGCCGCGGGACCGCGCGCCAGGCCCCGGGTTAATTATGCACCGGCGCGCGGGTCATGTTTGAGCAGCTCGTGAGAGGCGGCCTCGGCCGCGCTCGCCGCCAGCGGAGCCCCACGGCAGCAAGGAGCTTTCCTCACGCTGCCGGCTTTAAAGCCCGCGCGGGGAATGGAGAGGAAAGGGGACAAGAAAATGAGAAGGGAACCGTCCTGCCTGGCGACTCTGAACAACAGAAACATCACGCTGGTGTCTGTCCGCAAGCGGCAGGCGGCTCGCGATGTGCCTGAACTGCTGATTATCGGCGCCAAGCCCATGCCGGGCCCTCCCGGGAAGGCAAGCGGCGGCTTGCGGGAAGAAGAGAAAGTTCTGCCGAGTTTCCCCATGGGAATGGCAGGAGTCGGCACGGCTGGAAGCCAGGTCAGTGCGCCGGGGCGCGCGGGGTCCCGGCTGCAGGGCGTGCGGCAGAGCTCGCCCTCCGTGGCTCGTGAACCCCTGTGCTGTCCCGACGGACACTGAGTTGTTCGAATCCCCAGCGCGCTCCTGTCCCACGGAGAGCCTCAAAAGGGAACCTGAAAGCAAATGTTAATAGTGAGTAATGCAGCATTAACTCAGGAGCCTTTTGTCAGCTGCACCTCTAACAACAACAATGATTCTCCCAGTTAGGAATCATACAAGTATTGCCCCCTTTTGAACTGTAATTACACGAGTAGTGAGAAGTCCATCATACTAGGCTAGTCTCTGTCATAAGAGACACTGCAGAAATGTGAAAGAGCCATGATTGTAGGTAAGCAGTTTATCCATAACCACTCAGTGGACACTAGCAAAAATTCTTGGCAATGCGTTTGTGGCATTTTTTTTAATCCCATATTGTATATAATCGTATTGTAGTTTTGTAGATTAGTTATTGTGGGGAAGAGCCTTTGGAAGGATCTGTGTGGATAAAAATATGGAGTTTACTGGTCATAAAAGTTTTTGCTATTTAAGAGGCGTAATGACATAGCGTAATTTAGCATAAATGACAGAAGTGTAATTTAGATCAGTGTATATACTTAAGGAAAATAAAGTCTCAAAGCAAGTACTGTGTTCTCTGAAACCTTATAAGCTTAGAATGGCTTAAATAACTAGTGTCAGACTAGAAAGAAATAAGCGAGGCCGAACCAGGTATACCCCAAGGATTTTTCTATCTCTAGTTACTTCTCATATTTACTATAGGACAATCATGACGTAACTTTCTTCTGCCCTGTGATCTCTTTTCTGTACTCTGTTCATTGGAATACATCCCATTGCTTATATTGGAGCCCCATAGGTTTGTTCAATACGATGTGCGGGGATATTTAGTAAGACTAGCTGCATCTACATAAATCTTTCTGCATCTTCTATACTGTTCCCAAATGAGAGTGACAGACACTTGGCAGATGCATTATAGTGACTTCTTTAGTATTTTGAAACCAAGAGCACCATGCTGCTTTAAAGAAGTATTTTCATCAAATTGTGACCTATAGGGGTAGCGAGGAGTTGTTTTTTCCCTTGGTGAAGAATCAAGAACTGCCACTAAGCCATTAAATCTGAAACCTTTAAAGGATATTTGCTAACAAGATGGGTGGATGAGCTGTACTGAAATTTGCCAAGGGGAATCGGGGCTGTATTTTTGCCTCCTGCCTGCCTGCAGAAATGCTGGGAAGTTTGAAGCTTCCTGGACCTCCGATATTCCCGCTCTGACCTTGTTTCTTGTTCCCTGGCCAACCATAGCAAACCAGGAAAATATGTGAAGCATTTAATTAATAGCATGTGGCTTTTCAGCTGTGTGTTACTGGCAGCCTGGCTCCAAAGACGTGAATCAGCAGATTGTGAAAGAGCCGAGAGGAGAGGGAAAACAGTGACACAGATAAGATAACTCTTTGGAAGTTGTGTGCTTGAAGGCAAGAGGGCGGGATCTGGTTTCAGCCTGTTACGCACTGGGAGATGGACAAGCCAAAGCCTTTGGAGATGACGGGGCAAAAAGTGCACTGAGAGGTGGCGTTTGTTGGTGAGTGCAAGGGAAATAGGGGAAGGGAAATAACTGAATGGGCCAGGCCTCATTTCCTTGTCAGTTGATGGCTTGGCAATTTGCTTATGAGTCCAGGTCTTGAATTTCTGGATCTGAAAATGGCTATCCCTGTGGACCAGCACAAGGAGAAGCATCTGTGACTAAAACTGTTAAGGTGAGATGCTGCTGCCCCGTGTCCGAATTTGGACAAGGGGTTGGAAAGGGGTGCCTGGGCTCAGGACCATGGCCTGAGGGCCTCCTGCTTACACCTCCTTCTTCCAAAAGTCGGAAATGAGGAGAGGACACAGTGCTTGGCCCTCCGCCCAGGGCATCCCTGGCCACGTGAACACCAGGAGCTTCATAACCTGCTTCTCACAGGGGTTCTTAGTTTTCACACTAGAGTCGCAGTCGGAAGCAGACAGACTAGATTCTTGGGTTGTTTTGCATGTTGAGTTGCAGCTTGTATGTGCAGAACAGCAGGGAAATAATTGTCGTAATTTCACATTTTCATAATTTACATAGCTTTTGCACAGTCACCGTTAAAATATGCTTGAAACTTGCAGAGCAAGCAGGCCTCACGTACGCTCCCTTTAGAAGCCATGAGGAGGGTTAATGCCCGGGAAGTGATCGGCTGTGCAGCTCCAGGATCAGCTGGGTGCTCTGCTCTTCTTGCCACCCAACGAGTGAGCAGGGCTTGAACCCCGGTGTTGTTATCCAAACAACCCAGACTCGTCTTGGCACCTCTGAGATGAGAATGTCTCTGATCTTCTTGCAGATGGTCCCTCTGAATTACAGCCTCCTAGGTGCCATCTTATATGTAATTCTTAGCTGGCATCAAGAAGCCCTTCTGAGACATAGTATGTGCTTAAGGCCTGCATGCCTCGTGTTCACAGCTTTACAGTAACTTGCTGTTTTCCTCTGCTCTAGTGTAGAAACCCCTCTTCCCCAAAATACACCCCTGCTTATCCATGCCCTGTCTCCTGACAATCTTCTTTTCCTGAAACTGTTAAGCAACAGCAAAGGCTTCACAGATACTCTAAAGCAAGTAGTTAAACAAACAAACAACAACAACAAAAAAAATGTGTTCTCTCCTGATCTTATCAACTTCTTAACCTGTGAAAAATTTCTGGGTCTTGGGAAACTAAACTATAGTGGAAATATCTGTATGTGATACAAGTTTTTTTTTTCTTCATATGTGTCAGATGCAGGTTTTAAATTAGAAGATCTATGTATATGCAGACAACACAGACACTTGTGGGTGCACATACAGCTGTTCAGACTTTAGGCAGCCAGTCCTCCTGCACGTGCTGATTCCAGACTCTTGGCTAATTCCTGAGCCTGCTTTCTCTTCTCTTCTCTCTTTCTTTTGTTCTTAAGTCCTAGTAAGAATAATGGGTTGGGGACCAAACTGAGCTGGCTCTGAGCATCTGTTGAAAACCATTCGGACTCCTCTCTCCTGTGAACCTTTGAGCAGGTGGCCATGTGCTGTGAGGAGCAGAGCTTGCGTTGTGTGATGAATATGCTTGGTGGCCATAGGGTATTTACATTTTAAATGAGTGGGTTGGGAATATTCAGACAACTTTGTTCTTGCAGCCCTACTTGAATGTATCAAAATTGCTGCCCAAGAGGAGTTCCAGGGGCTGATTCGTAACCCTGTACAGAGCTAACTCCTAAGGCTTTGAGAGTGTAAATGAACATCGTGACATCTTCCAGTGGAATATACTGCACTTTTATGCAGAATGCTGCTGCTTTCACGGGGAAAAGGATCTATACATTTTATTTTTATTTTTCCTTTTTCTCTTTAGGCTTTGTCCAAGACCGATTCTCCTCCCGGCTGTGCTCAGGAACCCACCATGAAAGAGAATTTTGCTTTCGACAACATGGGCTACGAGGAGAGCTTAGAAACGGTGCCCTCTTCATCTGCTCAGACCCACACGGTTGCAGTCAACGTGCAGGGCATGACTTGCCACTCTTGCGTGCAATCCATAGAAGGCCGAATTTCCACGGTGAAAGGCATCGTGAGCATTAAAGCCTCCTTGGAGCAGAACAACGCCGTAATAAAGTATGTGCCGTCGGAAACAAGTCCTGAGCAGATTTGCCTTGAAATCCAGGAGATGGGCTTCGAGGCGAGCGTCGCGGAAGAGAGATCGCGGCCGGTGGCCCCGGTGGGGCCGGGCTCGCAAGAGGCCGTGACGAAGCTGCGGGTGGAAGGCATGACGTGCCAGTCCTGCGTGAGCACCATCGAGGGCAACGTTAGGAAGCTGAACGGCGTCGTCAGAGTCAAGGTGTCCCTTGGGAACCAAGAGGCGGTTGTTGCTCATTACCCGTACCTCATTCAGCCCGAAGAGCTCAAGGGCCACATCAACAACCTGGGCTACGCCTGCACCGTCAAGAGCCGGTCGGCCCCCTTGAAGCTGGGCGCGCTCGGCGTGGGCCGCCTGCGGGAGGCCGCCGCCAAGGCCCCGCCGGCGCCTGTGGACAGCGGTGGGGCAGCCCCAGCGGCTGGCGGGACGGGCAGCACGGCTGCCGTGCACATCGAGGGCATGCGGTGCCAGGCCTGCGTGCGCAACATCGAGGGGAGCATCGCGGCCCTGCCCGGCGTGCACAGCATCCAGGTGTCCCTGGAGCAGCGGCGCGCCGTCGTGCACTACAGCCCCGGCTCGCTCACCCTGCGGGCGCTGCAGCAAGCCATCGAGGGCCTCCCGCCCGGCCGCTTCCGCGTGCGCCTCCCGAGCGGCGCCGAGGCCGGCGACGGTGCCGCCCCGGCGCCCCGGGCTCACCCCGGAGAGCGGCCGCCGGGGAGGCCAAGCACCGCCGTCCTTCACATTGAGGGCATGAGCTGCGGCTCCTGCGCGCAGTCCATCGAGGGGACGGTGTCTGCCAGGAAAGGGGTGCAGCACGTAGCGGTTTCCCTGGCTGAGGGGACTGGCACCGTGCGTTACGATTCCACTCTGACCAGCGCAGAAGAGTTAAGAGCTGCCATAGAAGACATGGGGTTTGACGTGACGGTTCTCACAGGTAACAGTGGTTTTCCTTCCGTGAACACCATTCCAGGCTAGGCCGTGAGACTGTCTTCTGGAGAGCAGGTTTTAACACATTGCATTGGTGTTAGATTTTCTCCAGTCGCATGTCACTTAGCATTTCATCTGTGAAACACTTTATTTCAACCTCCATAGCTGCAGTGGTGGGTGGAAGAGTTGAGTTACGTTATGAAGCCAGAAGGTTTGGAAGCTGGTGCAATGTCTTTTAAATGGCAGAACCCCTTGCACACTGAAGTAGGTTTCATCTTTACATCTATGAGCTGCCAAAGTAAATCTATCAATATTTTAATTTGCATTCTAAAGTTGTAAAAGATGCAAACTTAATGCAGCACTTTTCATTTAAAATGCCTTTTTTTCCTATCTGAAATTATAATGCCCTAGTCTTTCACCGTTATTTCTTGGGGATATTTACCAGGGACCTAAGTCTTAATGTCCAGCAAGATAAGTGCCAAGATGTGTGTTCTCCCTGGTGAGAGAAGACAATTTAGTTGTCAGCTACTTCTCAGTTTCTACTTCTACACTTGTGCTCAATGCTGAAGAAGTTGCTGTGAAGCAGAAATATTTAACTGCTTCAACTCAGAACAGATTTGCTTTGAGCTACTGATGTGGTTTGCATGGAATGAGCTAGTTCAATCAGAAGAGACCAAACACTGTTAGCCTTGCTCAGGAGACCAACCCTTCTGAATTTGTAGGGACTGCTATGAGAAAGGAGAAGTGAATAATTTGTTTCATAATCTGGGGGGAGCTGTTTATCTGCCTGTAAAAAAAAAAACAGGAGCCCTATATATGAAATGTTTAGAAGAAACTCTTGCCCCTTTGCACATGCCTTCTGCCCGAGCGAGAGGGTCTGTGAATGTAGCTGGAGCCAGGAGCTTTTGCTGGGTGTAAAGAGCAAAAACGATCACGGCAGGCCTGTAGGTGAGGAGATCTGTAGGCTGCCAAGTCCTTTGACCACTTATTCATGCAGTGCTTGCCCCTGAAATGTTGTGCCATGAGGAGAAAATGCTGAGAAACTAAACTTTTTTTCTTCATGGTCTGAGATGAAGCGCTAGGAGTTGTGCATAGAAGGCAACAGGAGCAGAGCACGTGTGAGGTCAGTGCTGGAGGAGCACCATGGGGTCACCCTGTAGTGTTTCCTGAGTGTAGGTGTTACATCTCCGTGTTGAAATCGGCATTTAGATCTAGAAAACTTCACAGTTCTGTAGAGTTAGAATTAAATGGCAATGCACTGTGTGCACTAGTGTTACTAGTGTGAGTATATTGATAAAATAGCGTATATAATTTCTAAGAAGAGGCCCAAATGAACATGTCACCTTTCAAACACCTGAAAGGCTTTGCATGGTGGATAAACACGTGCCCTGCTTGCTTGTTGTGCGTCCTGCTCTCCCACTGTGCTGTGCTTGTCCTCTTCTCCGTGCGTTTCCTTCAGACGCAGCTGCGGCCGGGGCAGACGCGCAGCGCCCGGACGGCAGCCCCGGCGCCGCGGCCCGCGCCGCGCCGGCCCAGAAGTGCTTCCTGCAAATCACAGGCATGACCTGCGCCTCCTGTGTGTCTGCCATCGAGAGGAATCTGCAGAGGGAAGACGGTAAGAGCCGCAACATTCCCATGGGGAGGCTTTAAGGGGCTGCCAGGCAGCAAAGGCGTTCTGGGGGGTTCAGGGAAAGGCTGTGTTAGAACACCCTGAAGTGAAGTGGACTACACGTTCTCAGTGCTCATGTAGCAATGTCCTTATTTAACTGTGCTACTGCATTCAGGAAAGTTGATGGCCAGACCTGATGGACCTACTGTCTTCTTCATGACATTAAGCTCTTGCAATATGATCAGAAGCATATTAACAAAATGTGATCAAATAAAGCTCCAGAGTGGAGTAATTGGTCTCATGTAATATGCCGGGCCTTGCTGCTTTGCAGAGCAATCCGTCTCCACCAGAGCTATTGGGGGCCTTGACATATTTTGTGATGTGAAACTTACCCCTCAGGGCACGTTTGCACAGGCAGGTACAAATAAATACACGGTCCTGGCAATGGCTGGGGTGATTACACTAGCTCAGGATCAGCAGTGCTTATCAGGTTAGAAGTGCTGAGAGGCCGAGTGGGATCTGGAGCCGCACGGCTGCCTGTGTCACCTTGTGCTGGCATCTGGTGGAGGGCTTTGCTTGCTTACTATCTCTTTCCTACCTACCAAGAGATAGGAGGGACAAACACCCAAGACAAACATCCAAGAAAGTATCAGCACTTCCAGAATAATTTTGCTGCTTGTGATTTTATACTTTGTTTTTAGATTCTAAATTTGGATTTAGATTTATGGGAAGGTAAGGGAAGGCAAGGAAAGGAGTAACTTCGTACTGAGGATCTTGTTTAGATTTTTCCTGGGTAGAGCTTGTAGAAGTCATTGCAAATGTTGCATATGAACTGTCTTTTTATTCTGTTAGCTCTTAGCAAGATTTGCCTCCCTCCCTTTCTGAATTTTGCTCTTCCTCTTCTTGCCAAGGGGAAGTGCAGTCTGCCTAGATGTCAGTAACAGCTTTGCTGTTTTGCCCAGGGAACAGCACCAGAAGGAGGCAGAGAGAGTTTACTCGACATGAAGCATCTCTGCGTTGCTCCAGCCCACACTGATGTCACCTGTGATGGTGTTTGGTTTGGTTTTGCTTTTCCCAAAGGAGCTACAATATCTTTATGTTTTGCTCGTTGTCCCTGCAGGTATTGTTTCAGTGTTGGTAGCTCTGATGGCAGGTAAAGCCGAGATAAAATACAAGCCAGAGTTCATACAGCCTCTTGAAATAGCCCAGCTGATTGAGAATTTGGGTTTTGAAGCGACTGTCATAGAAGATCCCACTGAAACAGAAGGAAGCGTGGAGCTTCTTGTGAGTAACGTGTGTTTGAAATTATATGTTGGATTGGGAGATGGCAGGTTTGGAAGAAGTGTTTTCTTGCAGATGTTTTTGTTTAAAGAGCTGTTGCTTCAGCAGTTCCATTCCAGGTAGTAAGACCATTATTTCTTTATTGTTGTAAAGCCCAAATCGATTTGTTTTAGAAGAATTTGTCCAAAGGTGCTGAAATAAAAGGTGCATTTAGCAGGAGAAATAAAAATAGAAAGAGTACTTTTCTGTGAAGGCACCTTTGTCGACAAGTGCAGACTCTGAGTGCCTAAAAATATGTATCATAAAATACCTGACAATAGTGCCCAGTGCTTTATAGAGGGGTCTGAGATCTTTGGGTGCCATCAGTAAATTGTTCATCCTATGGCCAGGTTCTTCAGAAATCCATTTTTACTCTCTAAAATATACCTATGACACTGACATAGAGCAGCAGTCTGCAATTAGGCCCGCACTAAGACCAGAAAGTGGGAGCTTGCCTTTTTGAAGCCACGGGAAGTTTAAACTGTCAAGATGAAGTTAATCTTGAATAATCGTCAATAACCATTCTGTGACTCTGTAATTCTGTGATGTTGATTCAATCAAAAATGCCACTTCCAGAGCCTGCTAACCACCCATAAAATCATGTTCTGCTTAGATTACAGGGATGACTTGTGCTTCTTGTGTTCACAATATTGAATCCAGGCTTATGAGAGCTAATGGCATATTCTATGCCTCAGTTGCCCTTGCCACTTGCAAAGCTCACGTCCAGTTTGATCCTGAAGTTACAGGACCACGAGATATTATAAAAATAATTGAGGTAGGTTTTGGAACTTCTTTCTGTCAGACCAGTTTTAAGGTGAAGTTGTTAAGAAAATGAAGCAGCTGATATTTGAGAGGCTTTCCTGACTGTTGCAGGAAATGAGTGGTTATTGCTAAAGGTTTTTATGTTCTTGCCTCTGTGGTGAAGCTGCCAGGCTTCATGGCTGTGTGTAACCTCACAGGTTGTTATCCTAAAACGAAGAATTAACCCCACTTTTCTCTCTCTGTCTAGTAAAAGTGTCTTGTGCCCATCCTGGCTGTCGTTCTAGTCATTTCTGTGAAGTGCTGGTGCTTCAGAAAAATATACTGCTTTTTCCTGACGCCTAAAGAAATTTCTGTAAATGAAGTTTGGCCACAGCAGGAAACTGAATCCAGTTAGCACTGCAAGTGATGCACATCTCTGCACACCCTGACATCTGTTACTGTGTGGATTCAAAGATCTGTCTGAAGCAAAACAACTTGCCATACAGCTCCTAAAGCAAAAATCCCAGTTTCCCAGTAATGATGCAGATTGCAAATGCTGTGACATTATCTAGGCCCAGGTTTTACCAAAATTGTTCCCTCTTCCTCCAGAGGTGAAGAAAACTTGTGATGTGGGGGCATGCACAGGGAATAGTCTGGGGACTGGCAAAGACCTTTCCTTTCATGGTCTTTAATATTTACTCATAAAAAACCATAAGATTGATGCAGCAGTAATGAACATGTGTGTGTCAGGCTGTTCAGCCCTACAGAGTAGTTCTGTAAAGTGCATCTTGCTGCAGAAGTGTCTCATAAAGAGCTATAAATGTTAAGTGTTGTGCTTGCAAGTGTTGTGCTTTCTTTCTTTCTTTCTTTCTTTCTTTCTTTCTTTCTTTCTTTCTTTCTTTCTTTCTTTCTTTCTTTCTTTCTTCCTTTCTTCCTTTCTTCCTTTCTTCCTTTCTTCCTTTCTTCCTTTCTTCCTTTCTTCCTTTCTTCCTTTCTTCCTTTCTTCCTTTCTT